ATTATTATATGTATAATTATTTGCCGTGTTATCTTTATTTGCATTTTATGCTAATTATACTGTCGACTTCACTGAAGTTTTTTTTTTTTTTTAATCAAGGTAATTTAGTATAAATTGTATTTATTTCTTACAATTTTAGGTGATTTGTGTTTCAGTAATGTGTATCACTGATTGCATTTGAACAATGAAAAATGTGTATGTTACTCGCAAGGTATTAGGTGTTATAGACGATGTCAATGCATGTAAAACACTAATTTGATAATCATGTTTCCTGTTAAGGATCTTAATGTATTGGACGAGATAATTGTACCATTCGGGTCAAATAATGTATCTTATTTTTTATATCACAATTTTTGTATTTTATATTTTCTTTTATTATTTATTTTGTTTTATCTCAGTACTTAAATAATTGTTTTTAATTTTTTTTAGATTATACCGTATTATATATCAACTATTCAAAGTTTTCGTTCGATTATTTTATCTAAAACATATCTTTATTTTTTATATTACCCATATGCATCACATTAGCATCATCTTTTCATTCATAAAGGTGTTTGATTTACATCATCGACGTGTTTTAATCGTTAAAAAATTGAAGTTAGAATTGATTCCCGTTCATCGCACGGGTGAGTTACTATTAAAATCAAACAAGAGAATAAAAATTCAGCAGTAAATCAACCACCTTTTTCAAAAAACAAATATCATATTTACAAAAGAAAAAAATAATTAAGGGCAAGCCCTTTTAATTTTTATTTCTTTCTCACAATTCGAAGGGTTGAATGAAGATTGTGAAGAAGGGTTGAGTGAAGATTGCGAAGAAAGGCCGAAAGAAGAATTCGAAAGGCTGAATGAAGATTGCGAAGAAGGGCCGAAAGAAGAATTCGAAGGGCTGAATGAAGATTGCGAAGAAGGGATGAGCTACTGAAGATTGCGAAGAATGGCTGAAAGAAGAATTCGAATAGCTGAATAAAGGTTGCGAAGAAGGGCTAAAAGAATAATTCAAAGTATTGAGTGAAGACAAACTCGAAAAATCTAGACGAGCAGCAAATTCCAAAAGAAATGCACCAAATGAAGCTTAAAGACAATAAAATCGATAACCACGACGATCATTTCAAGGTTTCAATTCACATTTATTCATATATATATATATATATATATATATATATATATATATATATATATATATATATATATGAATAAATGTGAATTGAAACCGGTCAAATAATCATTACTTTGGTTGGTGGCAAAGACGGACAACCTAAACAGGTACCCTTTATCTTATTTTATTTATTTACCTCGTCCGGAAAAAAAAATCCCACCGTTTATTGTTTTTCGAAATAATTTCCGTAAACCATAATTTCCTTTTTTTTTTCTTCAGACAATGTCTTATATGGCAGAGCTAGTCGTAGGCACCGGTTCTTTCGGAGTCGTTTATCAGGTATTAAAATAATACGCGTCCCTTATTTAATTTTGTGTTATTTATTTATTTATTAATTAATTTTTTTTCGTTGTTGTAGGCAAAATGTCTTGAAACAGGAGATCAGTAGCGATAAAGAAAGTGCTGCAACATCGAAGATATAGAAACCGAGAACTGCAGATAATGCGATTGCTTAACCATATTAACGTTGTTCAGTTGAAACATTATTTCTATACGACTACCGACTAGAACGATGTTTACCTTAATCTTGTCCTGGAATACGTGTCCGAAACTGTTTATCGTGCTTCGAGGCATTACAGCGAAGTCAACCAGTACATGCCCGTTTTCTACGTGCAGCTATATATATATCAGGTACATTATCGATCTTTTTGTTTTGTGTTTTTTTTTTATATATCTTAGTTCTTAATATTGAAAATTTGAAATGACTGCTTAAAATTCACAGTTATGTCGAGTGCTGAATTATATTCATAGAGTTGTTGGTATCTGTCACCGTGACATTAAACCACAGAATCTACTAGCAATAATTTATTTAATTTCGTATTCTATTATTAATTTCTTATTATTATACGATCAAATCGAGACTTTTGGCAACTGTAGGTTAATCCACACACACACCAGCTCAAGATTTGTGATTTCGGAAGTGCAAAAGTGTTGGTATGTTTTTTCCTTTCAATCACTACGCTTGTTGTGTAAGTTCGTTATCTTTAAATTTTAATTAATCTTCGTCATGCTCTATCAAAATCGAACGGTTCAGGTCGGTTCACGGTTTATTTTTTCCGGTTCACTCCGGTTTCAGGTCTATTCGGGCCAATTCCGAATCGACCCAAATATATATATATATATATATATATATATATATATATATATATATATATATATATATATATATATATTTGGGGATCGTCCCCTTTTTTTTACTCCTTTTCTTTCTCTTTTTTTTGGCCTACCTAATGCCGAAACGCCGCCGTTTCGTTCCATCGCTCCAATCAGCTTTGCAGATTCTTTTCTTTTCCCTTTATTTTGCAAGCAGCTCGACCATGTCGTGGCTGCTTGATTTTTACTTTTTTTTTAATCCGCTTTGTGAAATGCGACGTCGTTTTTTCACCCACTAAAAAACTCCTCTCCGGCAGCTATTGCTGACCTCCTTCCGGCCCTCCACGTCCTGCTTCCGTCGATGTCGGCTCCCATTCACGTGTCCTCTTCTCCTCGTCCCACCGCTGCTCCTTTTCCCACCCACAAAAACGCGCGCCCTCTACTCCCTGCAGCCCATTACTTTCCACCAGAAACGCCTCCCACCAAACCGCTCCAATTTGCCGCCGCCGCCGTATACGAATCCTTTAGCGCTGCTTCCTGGAGAAGAGATAAGGTAGGTAGGTATCGTTCCACTAAAAATACATAATTGGTTTTCTATGTTTTAAAATTTTAAAATTGCTCTTGTATTCAAGTCTTCTCAACATCCTTACCTTCTTTCGCACAAAGCCAGCACAAATTGTTCCTCCTATGCAGAGCATGGTCGTGTTTTTCCCGTCTTTTTTTTGTTCTGATTTTTCGCGTTGTTTTGATTTTTTTTCGATTTTATTGATTTTGTATACAAATTGCCCATGTTGTCAAAAGTAGTGTTCTGGTACCGAATCTGTGTTGAAGAAGCATAAGAGGGCCGAAGAGTGGGCCTTTGCAAAGGCATACGAGTAAATGACCCTTTTTGTGATTAGTTATGATTCCCTACAAGATTGTGGTGCTATACTTTCAATTTGTGGAACTGCTTCGAGCATCTTCGTAGCAACTGCTCAATTTTTTAAATTTTTATTTTTTTTGCCTAATTTTTTTCATGAGCATTTAATTTTGTTTCGTTTATTATAGAGCTATTATATGTTAAAACCGTTGCTAGGTATTGTACCCCGTTCCGTGATTTTCTTTATCACAATTGGGGCTTCATACGCGCAGAATTGTTGCTTCTTTCTTCATTTCTTCCATTTTTGTCAATGTTGATGATGAGTTGGGGCTTATAGAAAGAAGATTATTAATTAAAGGGAGAGTCAGGTTTTAGAGTTTCAATGTGCAGTATGATTTTTAATTTATTTACTTCAGGAATCCGACGATAGAGTTAGTTAATACATCGTTTTCCTGTGCCGACGATAGAGTTAGTTAATACATCATTAGTTAATTTGTAGTTAATTTGTAGGTACTGATTGTAGGTCAGTAGTCCTGGAATTGGTGTTTCGGTTTGGTCTTGGTCTCTCTCTCTCTCTCTCACTCTCTCTCTCTCTCTCTCTCTCTCTCTCTCGCCATAATTATAGTATTAGACAAAACCTTGCTCTGGTAGCCAAATGTACGGATCAATTATATTTTGGATGTTAATGTAATAGATTTAAGGTTTATAGAGAATTATGGAATAAAAAAGAATGTAGATAGAGAGAGAATAATAGAGAGATAATGAATTGTGGGAAAACTTGCTTGCCCTTCTAATTTTCATCTGAGTACCAAATATATTTTGGTA